GATAATAATAACTGTTGATTACATTGTAGTAAAAGCCTTTGTGCCTTCCTAATACATGGTGATGCTTCTAAACCAGAACTGCCTCAGTGCTGATGGTATGCAAGCCCATGTTGTTCCTCTGTCATGTTAATGAAATACATGAGCCTCTGACCTTCAACTGATAACGCCATTTGTGGTAGAGTTCCTTACTCAAAGCAAGATGAATCCCACCTGGGAGAGTTATATACTTAGTCAATAGCTTAAACATCAGTCCACACCTTGGAGGTGAGTTGACAAAGGTTATGGTTGCAGCTGATGTGTTCAGTGACCCGACAGATGCATGTGATATGGTAGGGCTTGCTAAAATAAGTAATGTGATGAAAGATTATATTATCACTAACATGGTCTGCACTTGAATAAGAAAACCAGTTGAAAAAAAATCCACCAAAACCCAGAATATTCCACTCCAAGACTGGAATTAATGCATAAGCTTACCTTAGAAGAAAATACTTGCACCTCTACTGTTCAACTCCCACAGATTAGTCTATGCTGGCACAGCTTTATTTACACAGATGCCTTAAGCCTCACAGTCCAAATCAAGAATCTCATCTACATTGAAGCATTGTTAATATCATTGCTCTTTAGACCCTCCCTCTTTTTTTTTTTTTAAATACATGAATCAAGTGCTAAATCGAAGATTAAAATATAAAGAAAGAGAGTTTCTTTCACTTCAGAAAGCGCAATAAGAATAAAGAGCTCAGCATAATCTAGAACACCCACCATCAGTGCTTGGGCTTTTCCCCATTTGGAGAAAACAAAATTTAAGGCTGAAGTTCAGAACACTGTGACAATTTCTAAATGGACAACCAACCTATTAAAAGAGTAAAATACTGAATTTATATATTAATATGCACTTCCACTACTAGAAAGATCAGCATGTGAAAAGACATTAGAGATGGCAATTACAAGAAACTTGCCAGTACATCACTACATAAGCAACATGTGCATGTTTTTTGTTTATCATTGTTTATCAAGCTGCACCACAAATAACCTTCAGGCCAGTTACCGAGGTGGCCAGAGTGTACTTTCTATGTGGGCCCAACACTCCTAAACGGAGTCTCCTAAATGGAGACAGTGTTTCCAATTAAGACAAATAGCCTCAGTTTTGCTAATACACATAAGAGCCACTAGCAATTCTCGCTTCGTTTTGGTGCATGGGCTTATCTGGAATTTGTGCTGCTGTAACCAAAAGCAGAATCTGGGAACTACTAGAAATCTGCTTTATTGGACTAGCTTTATTAGAATAATTAAGAAAGAAATACTTACTGATGTCAAATAGTTTAATGAAATTTCCCACAGCCGTAGTTCTTCACAGTGCTATAAACTCTAGCCATCTAAAAATGAAGTAGCTAAAGCACTGACACTTTAATTTGTGCCATCAATAGTGTCCTGTTGTGTTTTCTAACATGGAAAGAATAGTCTTTGGAATTAAGATGCAGGATTAAAATGTGTGATGCGCACTGCTGTTTAGTGGCCTACTATTGCTGATATAATGAAGAACATCCACGTGTTTTCACCTGTACTTGCAGATTTCCAGCTTTTCACAGCATATCCACATGTGGGGGATATTTATGCTTCCTACCCTTGGGATCCACTGCTCAGTAGGGATCTCTTTGCTCAGCAATTGAGAAATGGGATACCCAAACCAGACGAAGAATAAACTCATGGCAAAAATATCAGCAACTTTGCTGCTCTCTGAAAGCCAACAATGGGAAACTACAGTGGGCTGGCGACGGTCTACTAAATGATTTATGACATACAGCCCATTCATGAAAGATTTTTTCTCCATTAAATGTGCATTAACACATGGGAGCCTAACACATGGAAAATCTGATCTGGCCTCAGAGAGAAAAAGCTCCCCATCTTTCCATTACCTCACCTTTGACTACTCTGAGCCCATGCTACTGTCTTCTAAAGAGATTGTGGTATAGTTTGCTCTAACTCTGCTGAATCCCAGATTGGGTTTTAAATACACCTTTAAAACAATCATTATACCAACGCAGGCTCTATCTACTACATTCATTGCTTGCAACTTAGCAGACTATTCCTCAAAAATCTCTGTTAAACATGGCATTACACAATGCTACCTCATTCCTAGTCACAAAATCTTAAAAAACAAGGGAAAACCCCCTCATCTAAGACTGCACACTACATTACAGTACCATGTTTTATTTTTACACAAGGATAATTCTTACCCCAGATTTTGATTGATTACTATGGACCATGCAAAATGCCACAGACCACAGAAGCTACATTTTCAAATGGATGTTTTTATTGATTAATCAGGCATTGAATCAAATATCGTAAAATAAACAGGTTTTGTTTGTTATAAAATGTCCAGAATACCATTCATAGCAAACTTGTTTCCTTGTAGTCATACAGAATATGAAAATGTTCAAGAAACAAGCAAAAAAAGGAACACCTGACTAATTACTGTCATTTTGTATGCGTATATATGTATGTATCATATACACAAATTACACACTATATTTGTGCGTATACTGGTGCGTGTGCACTCAGACATATGTGTACATATATACACATATATGCACAAAGTGCACTGACTGAATTAATAGTCCACTGCAGAAATGTGGCTTAGCTCCAAATGAGTATTCTGTGTTAAAATAAAAATGATACAAGGCCTGTAGATAACAGACCACTATTTTCCACTAGCCAAAACCATGATCTTTGGACTCACGGTCTATCTTTACAATGAAAATATGTGAGATGATTTTGGATCTTTCCAAATTCATGGTATTATCTCCATCCAGTTCAATCTCTGCCAACATAGTATGGCCAAATATTGATCAGTGTATTCAGTTTGTCCACTACTGAAATCAGCTTCTAGATCTAATATTTCTGGCAAAAGAGAACATACACAGCCTTGCTACATGTACTCTGGTAATACACCCTCTCCATTTAGGCAGAAACTTGGCAATAATCCTAGATTAAAACTCCTTTCTGTCTGCATCTTTTTATCACTGCTTTGTATCAGTCATCTCTTGTCAACTCATTATAATTATTTCATGCCATCTCAGCTACTTCCCAAACATCCCATGCCAGATCATCTGGGCTATGTACGTCAGATTGTATCAGTAACATTGTGCTCAATTATGAAAAATAATGTTTGGGGATTTATTTACTTTTTCATTTTGAGGGTATACTTTTCTTCCTTACTAAAGACACTATAATAAACACTGCAGTTTGCTATACGTACACATATTCCCTTATGAGTATGTCAACTCTGGAAAGATCAGTGGCTCCAACCTGTGAACACTGAGATGTTGCACCAGCTGAAAGCCATGGTACCAGCAAACTTGTGGCAGACTTTTCTTCATTTAATTCAGCTGTTAGCAGGACATGTAAAGGGAACTTAAAGAAACATGGCTAGGTATTTATTTTCTATTAAAGAAAGGAAAAAAACAAACAGGCATTATGTATTCCTTGTCTTGCTCCTAAGTTTTCCGTATCATCATAAGGCAAACTGTAGTACAGCTTTGTACCTGGAGAATTAGTATTTAAAAAATCTGAAGCTGGGCTTGGGACCATTTTATTTTGGACTCATTTGTGAACAAAGTGCATTAAAGCATCCTTTTCAAAAGACACCTAAAGCATGGTTATAAATTACTGAGCAAATCTTTTCTTAAAACTGATATTCAATTTTTCCTTTTTCTACTCTGGCAGAATTTTAACCACTTGCATAGTAACAACAAAACCCTGTAGGAAAACCATTCTTTTACAGTTGTCATATGCCTCAAGCATCTCCCCAAAATTATCAAGAAATGATCATTTATGCATAAGCATTGTAGTAATTACAAAGGGCTTCTATTCTGTAGAAGGAAAAGAGAAAAAAAAGCACCTGATTCAGCTTTGAGATAAAGTAAGTACAACCTCTATTGCCTTCATTGAAGTTCTCCACCAACACCGAGATGAACGTAGGGCCTGCCTGTGCAGATTCCTACTGTTGCTGAAAACTTGTTATTTACTCCTCATTCACAAAGAGAACTGTGCTTTCTCAAACAGCTCAGGACAATGGTAACTATGAGCAAACTCCATTTGCAGTGTTTCTCCACACGGCACATGTGAAACAGATTTCCTTCTTTTGTTATAGAGACTACATAGTGTATGACAATGAAACATTTGTGTTTAATTTAAAATCAATGGAAAAGTGGTGCATGTCTCACTTCCAAGTCATTGGCTGGGCTTGCTATATTGAACCTTGTAAAATCAGCAATAAGCATTCACATGTCTACCATCGGAACTGTGACATCTTCTATTACAATCAATCCTTAAATGATGCCATGCTTTATCAAATTAGTCTACAGTCAGACCTTGGATTGGCTGCTCTCCTCCAGTGTTGCTAATTCTCAGAGATGGTATCAGTCTTTCACATCCTCAGTGATTCCACAATGTTTCCCAAAGACGAAAACGAAGCACTGGTAGATGGGAATGTTGCCATCAATAAAATAAATCACGAGATGATTTATCCACTCACATTTCTAGGAGATATTCCACATGTTTTATATGAACAGAGAGAGCACTGGCCTGTGAAGAGAAGTAAGTTAAACTTTATTCTTTTGCTGTGTTGGCTAGCTCTACTTTCTCACTTGTTTTCTTTTTTGTTGTTTTCTTTTTGGTCGGCACGCTCCCATGTGCAAAGTAGAAACTTAGACATCAGGAGATCTTGCACTCAATAAGACTGGTAATGAGAGGGCTAATATTGGCATGAGTAAAACCTGCAGCATACTGACTTGTCCACTGCACAGTTTTAATCCTTCCAATTACTTGCATTTATCCACTGTAAAATAAAATGATGTAAAGGGCTGAAGAAACTTCAATCAATAGGACCGTCAATGTGCAAAACAAATAAGCCATTTTCCAGGTGTCCTAGCCAGGCTTTCCCTTGTCTCTCTTCTCTTTATTTTTTTTTTTTTTTATAAATAACTTATAAATCTTCCCGTAAGAGACTAAATACAAAACAAACCAAACAAAACCAACTGCAAAAGAAAGTTCTAAGATATTAAAGCCACTTCTTGTCCTTCCATACAAAGTACACAGTAAAGATATTCTTCCTTTTCCAGTTCTGGCCTGATCTGGCAGTGACATCGGGATGTCATTGTGGTCTGCCAGCTCCAGGCAAGCTCCTGCAGCTGCCTGGCTGCTATGGGAAGATACGTTGTCCTATCTTTTGGCTTTTAGCAGTCATGCAAGCTGCTCAGAGGAGTCTAGGTGGTCAGGGATAGGCAAGCCAGTTATAATGGTCAAACATTTGTTCCACACAGTAAATGTGGGGCACACTGGCTGCCCAAATGTAATATCAAAAGTGTAAAGGTGTAGGGAGTTCAAAGCATCGTAAAAAGCAAGGGAACCATTGTCATAGTCCAGCAAAATCCCAACCCGCCGGAGGTGAGGCGCGGGCTCGATGGGGATTTCTTTGCTGTTGTGCCGCACCACCCATGTGTTATTGCAGCGGCAAAGCACCCAGGAGGCAGAATTCTTCCCAATCCACTCGTGCTTCGGTGCTGACTTGTACGAAATACCAATGGCATACCTGAAAAACAGAAAACAAGGAAACAAATGCCTTCTGCCATGTTTGTCTCTTGGTGAAGTCAAATGTTAGCCCAGAGGACTCACTGGAATGTCCCAGCCTCTTACTTCTGCTGGTTAAGTTCTAATTATTAATGTTTCATCATACTATCTGCACAGGCTTTGTTAATATTTTTCCCCATCCCTCTTTGGGTCTGAGAGGTCAGGGAAACTTTACTGTCCCTTGTATTTTTCGTAGTTTAGCTGCTATGGCATTTTTTTTGAGCATTTGACTCTGGTATTTAAGAGGAAGATTGTTGAGTACTCAGCAATTCAGAGTTTATATCACTGGGCCTCAAACTTCCACTTCCAAATACATGAATACAGAGGAATTAATTGATTTTAAAATACACTACTATCTGTCAGCTAACCTGATTTCTCCTTGCTCTTTTAATATACGGCCCAGAAGAAGGAATGTGGAATATACATCAAAGGACACATTAATAAAAACATTTTTGCCATTCCCAAATATGTTTCACCAGATGTTGGTGTGGTTTTTAGATTCAAATGAGCATTTTTGAGACTAGGTTTTGGGCCAAGTGAAGCAACTGTAGGTAAAGACATTTGCTCTGCAAACCATAATTTATGGCAAGATGTGCAGGGTAAAAGGATTATGAAAAATTCTCATTAATGGACACTGAGGGCAAATACATGATTTCTCATATATACATATATGTAACAGAAATTTAAAAGTTCCTCACGTTCTAGAGACACTGCAATATTGGTTGGGCTTTCAATCAACAGAGATTACTGTGCCATAAGTTACTCTGTTTCCATTCCTTCACAATGGCACAGGCAAACCGCATTTTTCTTGTTTGAGACAGTGGGCATACCTGAAGACCTTAGTGATTTTTCCACTCCATTAACCTCCATCATGATTGTTGCCTTTGAATCCCAAGGGATGACATCTCTTCCACTGACTAAAAGGCCCCTGAAATCCACCTTTGTATGACACAGAGGATCATTCAGGAGTGGAGGAATGCACTCCTTCATTTCCTGCCCCTTGTTTTATACCCTGGGGCACAGACCTACAGCTCTGCTTCTCTGCATCTCCTCCACACAAGCAAACCTGACCTCTACCCCTGTGAAACTGGATAATCAAATTGTCCTTATATTATTTGTTTTTTCCTTACTGAAGGATGCTAAGATCTTTCACATTTAGTAAAGAAATGACCACACTTACAAAGTTCACCCTATTGTTTAAACAAGATGAAACTTTCTGAGCTCTCCAATTCACTAAAATCTTAGAATGTACTGTATGTGGGCCCAAAAACCAGCCATCCCCAGCCATGGAGTAAAAGTCCTGTGAAGGCTGATAAACATAAGGATGCTCTATCTGGCAGATTGTTCTCCAGAGTACAAAAATGCTGGAGACCGAGCAAATATTCTGACAAACTATGTGAAAGTATATGCTTGCCCTACTCTTGTACTCTTCCTCATGCCTCTGCTACTGGTGTCTATCAGAGAAACTGTGCCAGGGCTTGCATGGTGTGAAATAGAGATTAATTTCACATGTATTTTCTATATACATACCAGGTACTCCCACTTATAACCACTTCCCAGTAATGCCGCCCACTGTCAATGAACACATTGCCAGCTACTCCATAGCTCCCTTGGCTCGTGAATCGCTCTGGTGTGTGACTCTTCTTGGAGGATGTTTCATCACGCTCCACTGTCAAATTATCATGAGACACTTTCAGTTTTCTGTGAGCCGATTTGGGGTCCAGTTTAAATGGCTGACCTGGAGACGCAGAAACAAAGATGGCAGAAGAATGGTTGGCTTTGATTTTGAAAAGGAGAGCGGATTAGTAAGCCTCTAAGAAGCCCACAAGACTACATAACCATATTAATCTCCTCCTCTGAAGCGTTCTTGAGATGGACTAACCTCTTCTGTTCCCTGCAATAGCTACTTTGCATTGTCAGTTTACTGTCAATCTCATTGTGCACTAACTTGCCCGTGTCGATAATCCCTGCAAAGAGCCCTACATAATCATCATGCCTATTATCTCTGACCCAGAGGTAACCTGAATACTCTCATTCTTGCATGTAATTGAAACCAATATACATGCTAATAAAGGTCTGAGGGTTTCTTTTTTCACGGCAAATTAGATTTAGAATAAATTGTGTTCTATTAATTCTCTAGGGATAAAGCTCCATAATAACATCTTCATCTTTGCTACAAAAAGTATGATTTCAGATGTCACAAAATGAGTTTGAAAACGAGAAGCAGAGGCCTTGTCTGTTCATTGACTCACAGCTTTATTTATGACAAACACAGTCAACAATTCAGGATCACTTTGGAACGATGTCCATGTGGTACTGGATACTGTGCATTAAAAAGAAGGAAGTGAACTGTAACTTGGTCCAAATAATATGGTGTAAAAACATTACTGAGGCTGTTGCTCTTGGCCAGTATATTCGGCTGTAGCATGAAATTTGTAGACAATAACAGGAAGCTTTTTAGTAAACCGAGCCCTGTAGATATATAAAACCTGCCACAATTTTGACAGGCTGGCTCATTGTGTCAAAAAGCAAAATGATCATTTACCTCCAGTGGGAGACAACTAGGAAAGTATGACTCCACAAGTGGTCCAATAAAGCCTTTTTCCCCTTCTTACTGTCTTTCATACCAGGGGGAAAAAAACGTAAGTGGAAGATTTGATGACATACACAGAAAATATAAATGAGTGCTCTCATGAGATCTGTGGGAGGCACTGATGTGTACTTCAAATAAGACAGAAATTGTTCAGCGTTATCTACTTTTGCAATGTGTATTTAGCTAGGTATTACGACCAAGTCTAAAATAAACTCATTGGAAAATATTGGGGCACATTTTACCTGCTTTTTTTCACCACCTGCTAGCAACAAAATACCTACAGCTCTCTAACTGATTAGTATCCTCTGTGTTGCTGAAGCAGTGTCTGAAGGATGTCTTTCTCCGTACTGGATTGTATCTGGCCACATAATTTCTCACAGTCACCTGAGAGACTGCTTTTGCGCCACTCTGGGTCACAAATTGATAAAAGGATAAAAGACTGCCATTTTCGGGTGGGTCCTCTAGTTATGTATCTGCTTGTAGGTTACCAAGTGTAACAATACTCAGATTCTTGGTAGCAGATATGGAGTTTGTATGAGCAGCTCTTACACAGAAGTGTAAGCCAGGTTAATAGCAGTAAGGAGAAAATCAGAAATGTGTACATGCCATTCCCTGCAGCATCTTTCTTGCAACATTCAGTATCACCCCTCTTTGAGCACCATCCCCTACAGTAGGTTTCAGAGGGTGCACAGATCCCGGTGTTCCCTTTGCAGTGCTCAGAGCTGCCCACAATGACTGCATGACTGAGGGGTTGATTGTGGCACATGAAGAAAAAGGCTCAAAACCAGTCTTAAAATTGCTATGCTACATCTGATAATAATTTGTGTAACCATTGTTTTTTTGAAGTGGGATCTCTGACTACTCTACCACCTTGTTGAAGTCCATAAAAACTGAAGGGGATGGAGTTTTCCAGTATCCCAAGAAAGAGATCATTTTGGAGGATAAAATTAAACTAACAATTATCTTATGAACACTATACAAAACCAAAATGTTTTACTGCAAACACAAGAAAAGGGTTTGCTTTGTAGAGCAAAAAGAATAGAGAAGACATTAAAACAAAACCACAAAAGAGTATTTTCAGTCATTTCACATGTGACGGGTCTGTTCCTAAATGATATTTCCAGTGACCAAACTACAGATGTTTCACTCTCAAAAAAGAAAAGCAATTTCTTCACTGCTGAAGATTCCGGTAATCTTGAATTGAGTTAAATAAGTGGTTTTCATTGTGAGAAGCAATTTAAATAAAGTTTAACTGCTCTGTGCTCTTGTATCTTCTAAAAATCAAACCCAGAAAAGAAGGCAAGAAAGCAGAAGAACGTGTGCGTGCCAGATCTCACGTTACTCACTGTTTGTCTTGAGCTTGCCAGGCTCGCTGCTTCTGCTGCCTGCCTGATTAATGGCCTTAACAATGAAGATGTACTTAGTGCCACTCTGTAACCCATGCACGGTGTAGTGGTTTTGTTTGATATTGGGAACAATCATCCAGCTGTCGGCTGAGTTGCATAAACCTGCAATTTCAAACAGAGCACATCAGTCATAACATACTAAACACTTTGTAAGAGAGGAACATTAGAGCACTTCCAAGCACCCAACAATGGATATGAATTTTGCTTCTCTACCTTTTAAAGTGCTGTTACATTTACTGAGTCACTACTTAATGCCACTAACTCATTTCATCAGCCCTCAGCCAAGGTACCTTTTAAGTTCTTGCTGTGTGAAGTCAACCATGAAAAATGGGCATTTAAGAAATGACTCAGTGGAGGCATGAGCAGTCTGAGATTTTTCATATCCCAGCACAAGGAATTCTTTATTGCTTAAGAAATAGAGGATTATGGAGATCCCATCAATCTACTGTTTGGATTAATGAGCTCAGTTTAAGCCTCAGAAAACTAACATAAGCAGTGAAACTAGGAGGGCTGGGGAGGCATCTTTGCTGAGTCCCCAGGTATGCATTCTTCAGGACCTGAAGCAAATCATGTGAGGCCAAACAGGGTGGAACATGGGCTTCAGAGCAAGCTTTGGCTTTTATACTCCATACTTTTCCAGAATGTAATCTAAGACAGTAAATTTCATGGATGCTATTTTGATTTATGTCCTCATGGTTACTTGTAGCTGGGGAAGAGCTGGATAATTTTGCAGTAACAAAATTTTTGGGGTACATTTTATGCCTACTACTGAAGTATAATATTTAGGAAGTAAGTAAAATAAGGGAGGAGCAATATAATCTTCAAAACAGGAAAATACTCCATTAAGATGAACTTATCTCTGTAAATTTTTCCTACGGTGATGTAATTGCAGTGGCAGTCAATCACCCATATTACTTGCTGTACATTTTGAACAGCTCCTGGTCTAATGGATTCCCAGTCTGCTAGCTCTCTTACTATAAATGTTTACATAAATAACAAATTAAACATTCATGAAATGTGTATATGCTCGCAATCTTTTATGTAGTTATACAACTAGAAAAAGATACACACAGATGGAAGTGTACGCGTGTGTGTGAATATGTAATGCTGGAAAACTTCAAAAGAAAAATGTTTGACTGGATTAGGAACCCAACAGACTACCTGGTCCCTGCCTTTACTGGGCAAAGAACATGTTATGAAAGCTGTTGTGTTATTATAAAACAGCTTTCAGCTTTTAACTCATGTTTTACCAGCAAAGCGGTAGGTACTAGTGAAGAGAATCCTTTAGAAGTCAATAGTAATTTCAGCTCTGCATATTAGGCAATACAAAACCTTTACATAAAGTAAAAATAAATGGACTACTGAGCAAAAAACTTGAAAGAAAAAGACCTGTGACACAGGTTTACAGACTCATAGACAATTCATAGCCATACTGGCAGATTCCTTTCCAATTTGGGATGTGCTATTCATAACTAAAGCTCATTAGGAACAGAACTCAACCCCCAGATTTCAAACTAAGAATTATATAGCTTTTGTCTCAAAGTTCTCTTATACATACATACACAGCCTTCTTGAGAGGCAGGCAGCCATTCATCCTGCTGTGCAAATGGGGAACTGAGGCATAGTTTCAGGTAGGACTTGTATCACCTTGTCATCTAGTAAAGAGCTGGAATGCCTAATCTATTTTTGTGGGCTCTGAGGAGAGGCAGAAAGCAGTGAGTAGTTTCTTTCACTTCTCCAGTTGCTAACATCTTACCACAAGTGCCTCTCTTTTATTGGCCACAGAAGCCTAGATGAGTAGCATAGGTGAGAACTCTAATTTCAGGTATTTAAAATGAGGTGAGATGACCACCACCACCACCACTTGCTTTGAAGTCCGGAAGTCTAAAACTGTGGCTGAACTCACATGCGGGTTGTGGCCTTTGGACCACGATTTACCAGAATATTTTGTTGTTGTAGTTTCCAGGTGTAAAGTGGGAAAAACTAATTCTAGTATGTTCTTTATACTCCAACCAGTAAGCATCCTGATCAAACACAGCCTCCCTAACTATGAGCTATAAGGGATTCAAACAGTTTGCTATATATGGATAGAAGCTGCAAAGAAAGGCAAACTTGCAGCACTGCTTTTCTCAAGAATATTGAAAAACTAGATCATATAGAGCAATCATTTGTCTACCTCCTGAAAAAAAAAGAACTCAGTATTATACCCCATGATAGCCCCAGTTGTGCCTAGCACTTGCAGTAAACTGCTTATATCAACATCAGTCCATGTCTTGTTTCACTGAAACATACATTTATTCGTGTAGTCTGGTGTGACCAGGTTTCCTGAGAGAAAGAAAGGAAATAAAGGCAGCAGTTTCCTGGCATAAAATATTTCACTGACTGCTCAGAGGAATCCTCATCTTTTTCCAATAAAAATTTGCCACAGTTACTAGAGTAAAGGTACACTTGCTCTGTAGCTGAACTACCACATTGATTTTGCATTGGGACTATCAATTACCTGGGTCCTAGGTGCTATTGTAAAGTAAGTGTTAAGTTAAAATAACACAAAATGAAGCACTGGACTTAGAGGGAGTTCAGTATGACCAAGGACTCCTTAACTCAGATGCCTCTTCTGAGATATCAAATAACATATGACAGTAAGCTAGATGGGTCCAGAGATCCTAGAAACCTTTCTTTCCATAACTACACTTTGGAAGCAAAGGTCTGTGGTATACATAAGCCATATATAAACAAACCCTTGCACTGACCCAGAATGCCCAGATTTTGCTAAGTCATATCAAAACTGGATTTGGTTAGTCACTACAGATCTCTAAAGGGCACACATTCAAAGCTTGCTTTACAATTTTTAGGCTATCCTCCAGAGCCTGATTGTTCCTTAATGAAGTATAAAACCTGGATCTAAATAGGTATATGAAGGACTGTAAAGCTACAGCTACATTGCTATTAGTCCCCTCTACAGTCTGTCCTCTGCTCCTGCATATGTGGATTTACACACTGAATCTCATACCCAATACTCTACCTATACCCAATACTAGTGTATAAATGCTTATAAAGAGTAAGTTATTGTATTATTAAATAATCCAGTTAATGGTTAATTTAGATTTCTGTGTATAGAAGGCTGAGTCACAATAACTTCAGGTGTTGCTACGTATTGGCTTCTGCTGCCAAGACTACGAGTGTACAATGAGTGTTGGATTTGCATGACCTGGTTACTCTGCTCAACAAAACTTGCTGTCTTAACTTGCTGTCTTACCTGTGATGTGTCCGTGTGCCTCCTGACTGTGAGATATTTGTTAACAGCCTTTAAATTGAACTTTGATTCAAAAATCTTGGGAATTACTTTTGAATGCGTCAAAATACAAGTCCAAAATCCTTTAAAAAGGAGAATAGTAACTAATGGCAGCGAAGTTCAGCTTTTAGGTATGTCACTGCATCAAAAGAATTTGTCTTCAGTTATGCCTTGTCAGGACAGCCTTTCTTTTCTGAATGCCAAAAAGATGATTAAGAAAGTTCATGGAAATGAGCAAGCAGCCTGGTAATGCGGGCATCCAGGGATAGCGTTTGTCCTCTCAGCTCCCTGCTGGTGGCAGCAGGTTAAATAGAAAAGCACAAATCTCCTCACTGGTGCAGCAGCAGGAGCTAAGGGTCTCCTATTGTACCCACTCCTAATCCAGGCTAAATTCAGGTTTCTTGTTTCAAAAACCCAGGGCTTTTTACAGGGTTATGCAGGTGGTAAAACAATGTATTTTAAAACTGTAGCCTGCAAAAATGCAGAGAATTTAAATTACATCCTGGAATGGTGCAGTGAGCACAGTGATGTCCGTACAGGATGTGTGAGTTTTCAAAACAAGTTTCTCAGAATCTGGAGGTAATAATTTGTAAAGCCATTTCTCTGGTGTTGGCTCTTGATGCACTTTAAAAAACAGATGGGAAAAATCCCAAGGTGTAAATCCTCCTAAAATTTACACTGGTAGATTTTAATAAAATACACCTTCTTGAAAATTGTAAGAGGAGCAGAAAAGTCATGGGAAGGTCATTTAATCTCTTGAGTATTTTAATTATTTTTAAATGCTTTCTAAATAATTACCAATTGAAATTGGGAGAATAGATAGCTCTCCACCCCCACTCTGCATTCCCACATGAAAGAAAATAATATATGGAGGATTCCTGTAAAACTTCCAGAACAGACAAAAGTTAGAATATTCAGAAATTAATTGGTGAATAATAAATTAACTTTTTCGTGGAAGCTTGGGCTCTTAAGTGTCTTGGCTCCTTCAAAAAAATGTTATGCTATCTTACAGGAAGAGTAACCATGTAACACTGACAAGGTTCTGACAATGCACTTTATCCTTAATACAGTGATTTTAAGTATTTAGCTGATGTAAGTAACTAACCTAATTTACCAGGAAAGAGAGAATTATTTACTGCTTTTTGTCTTGAAGACAGATGTGTTTTTCTTGAAGACATCTTGTATCACAGTAGAAAGCTGGGTGTTTGAATTTTAACCTTCCTGAAGCACACTAAAGCAAATCCATGATGTTAAAAAAGTGCATGCTCAATGAATACTTGAAAATCTATTGAAACGGGATAATGAAATTATAATGCGTGTTAGCTAGATAGTGACAAAGTCATTTTAAAAGCCTTTACAATATTCAGATTGCAGGTGATTAGCTGCCTCTCAGAAATGCAAATGTGAGAATGGTATAACTCTGAGAACAACTGCTTTAGTAAAAGCCTGCTCAATTTAAAGTTCTGTATTTCTCTTATGCATAGAACAGGGCTGCCAAGCACTATAGCCAAGCAGTTTGGCCACATGGAAATAATCTTTCCTGTATGAAATAGGATTCAAAATGAAGTACTCTATTTGGATCTTTTCCATCAAATCTTAACCCTCCAATTTTTCAGTTAATAAAAAAGAATATAGTTGATTATCTTGGATAGAAAATACACTAGAAAAACATACCATTGCTTGTTTTTGTTACTGAATTCTTAGCAATCTCTGAATGATATATGCCTCTGGTGGGGGAAATGTACTGAGGAGTGGAAAGTGCAGTCAGGCTGGCTATGTGGTTTTAAGAAACAGATTCCAAAATGACAGCCTCCATTAGCACGGTAGGTGGGTATGTATGCAAAGTGATTCCTATTGTCTCAGGGGAAAAAGGCTTGTTGGTTTAATGCAGTACTTCCGCTACTCCCTCGTGGCTAATTCATAGCTACAAAAACACAGAACTGAAGACACTCTGTGAACCTGTTTACATTATCTGCTACAGGCAACACACAATATCAATGGAAAATTTTTGGGATATGACAGAGAATAAATTTAAAAAATAATTGTATGCAACAGCATGGAAATGACATAAATCAAAAGAAATTCCTGCTAATCCAAAATCTATTCCATTAAAACAGGATTTAAAAAAATAAAATATCACCTAGCACCAGTTCACGAAGCCATGAAGGCTGCAGTTTAGCACCCGCTAATGTCACTTACAGTGGAAATAGCTCTCCATGTTCAACCACACTACTACAGTACACTCCAATATTCAAGGCTAAATCTTTCATAGTAATTTATAAAAGTTGGTACATTAGACCCTTCTTCAGGACAAAAAATATAATCCAGTAATGCGAAGAAATATCCAAGCAGTCTTCTGAACAAAATCAGCACATTAGTGGGCAAATTTCCACTACCAGTGGAAGTTGGAATGAACTGGAAGAGTCTTATGCTTTAGAAACCTGGGCAGATCTGTAGCAGTTAGGTTTGGCAGGAATCTCAATTGCAGGTGTTCAAGTCTACGTTAAATAACCAGATTAAAAAAAAGCTTTGCAACCTTTATAAAACGCTTCCACATATACTTACATAAGCATGTACAGAATTTGGGTTATCATTATACCTTTCAATTAAACTGAAACTTACAGCCAGGATATTTGTGTACAAGCTGTGCATTAAGAAGAGAGAGACAGAAGCAAAGAAAATGGGCCAGTTCTTTCATTTCTTCCTACTGTGATTTGAGGTCTTCAGAGCATTTTGTATACAAAGTTTCTTACAATGTTAATTTGTTCTCTCTTCAAACTTTTAATGGCACCATTTCTGCAAAGCAGTAAAATGAAAGTTCAGACTGCACAGTAAGCACTTCATGCTATACTCCAAAATTATCATATTGCATCTCTGAAAGTAGACTAATTGATACATGTTTTGCAGATCAAAGCTTTCACCTCCACATGGGAAACCTACAGTACAGCCTAAAAATGAATACCTTGTTATTTATGCAATAGTAAGCAAAGAGTAAAACCCAGCATCACAGAGGTGTGGAAATGGCACAACTTTCTGCTGCTCTGTTCACTCATAGTGCCAGTAACTGACTTGCATAAAGTCTTCTAGCATAAAGCCATAGATAAAAATGGTTAGAAAACCAACAGTGAACTATGTTGTCAATAAGTCCTGCCTGCTTAGTAGTGATTAATCAGAGAAGCTTTTCCTTCCTTATCTGCCTTGCTTCAACTGGTTCCAAGTTACAAATAGATCTTTTTGTTATCCAGCTTGTTCAGATGTAGGACCATGTGCTGAAGTTTACTTCATCTTTCCAGCAGTCTTAATTTTTGCAGTGTTTAAAATTAGGTTGTTTAGTGAAATACTAAATAGAGTTTTGGCAAAACACTAATAAAATTTTCAATAGTCCACCTTATATTTTAGTCAATCCTGAATATCATATTATATTCACAGTATGCTATTTAAAAATCGTGTTAAAATGCCAGCACATGAATCCTTAGATATCCTTTCAGATTGCTTGGAGAAAAAACTCCAGTTTACTGACAAAACGAGGTGCATGGAGCAACAAAGGTGTCAGTGCAAAAGTTTGGCTCACTACCGAAAATGGCATAGATCACACATTTTCCGCAGCACTGACTCTCATCAAAGTATCTCAGTGAATTTTGTAAGAAGAAAAACATTTCTGCACTGGGTCAGAACTAAGCCTGTGTAGCTCAGTGAGTGGCTGGGGTGTCTGGTGGTGGACAAAGCACATAGCCATCATTTCTCACCATGCTCTGGCAGACCTCAATAGCTCACAGCTCCGGGACTTCCTGAGCCAGAAGTCTCTGCACTGCACTTAGTGGATTTTTCTTGTGAGATCTGTGTAGTCATCTCTTGAACTGAAACCCACAACCCTCTGTGGCAACGAGTTCACAATTTAAATGCACACTGACTGAACAAACTCCACCTTTTGATTGATTTGTTTCGTTTCAGGATCCTTGTTTCATAAAGCAAATATGTGTCAGTTAGTGGTATTACCATTAAACATACAGGGAACAAGAAGAAGTTAAATGACTTCTCCAAATTCATAGTTAATGATCACTATGCACTGAACCCAGAAGTGCTGATTTCCTGGCCAAAGTTTAGAAAATATTTTTTTCTCAGAGGAATAGTTATGTAACAACAAAAGAATCCAAGGAATAATCAGCAAGTTTGTTCATTAAGGAAAGCCACAGATTCAAAACAGGGAGCGTATTTAACAAAAAATGTGCTGCAATGCAAACATAAAACAATGATGACTAATATAATTACAAGTCGAACAAAGTTACCATGTTAATTGTTGTTTCACTGAGGTTTGCTGCCTTAAAGTACACTGACAAACATAAAACAATGATGACTAATATAATTACAAGTCGAACAAAGTTACCATGTTAATTGTTGTTCCACTGAGGTTTGCTGCCTTAAAGTATACTGATACCAGTGCTTTGTAGCCTCGAAGTCCATAAAAATCAGAGGGAAGGACTTATGCTGTATTTTGACAAAAGTCCAGGTGTCAAGGTTATCTAAATGACAATGGGGCTGCAGTTCTGACTAATGACCAGTTCAACAGAGGCTCCCGAGGGCCTGACTTGCCCAGACAAAGGAACTGAGGTCTTTGTCCCTGCTACATTTGCAACAAGGGACCTAGGACACAAGAGACAAGTCCTGTCAACATGGACAGTACTTGTGCTTTTGGGAATACGTGCTGGTTTTAGTCTTTGAAAGCTCCCACTACACAGCACTTCCAGAAGAGACACAAGAAATTGTAACTGGATTAATTCTGAATTAGAAATTATTTTGAAATTATTATTGGTTTGGATTTAAAATTTTGTCATTAAATCTTCCCAGAAAATATTTTCTCATTTTGTTCTTGACATATATTTATATTTAAAGGCACTTGTTTTAGAGAGAAACAAAAAGGAAACAGAACTAGAAAATAGATGGTTTATACTTACTAACAACATTAGCTTGTCCAGTGAAGATGGTGTACTGCAGCTCATAAGAGACCACGCTGAACTCATCATCTGATGTCCAGTGGACAGTAATGGTATCATAAGAAGCTGTACAGAGCTCTTCTCGAATGGTGGGTGGGTTGGGAGCTGTGAGATACAACAGAGGAGGCTTACTGACATAATCAGTAAAGTATTTATGTTCTCACTTGAGATTAGGGGATGCATCTGATGTATGAGTTTGTAGCTATGCCATCCAACAGGATTTTCAAAACCTTTTTGCTAATTCTAGTAGCAACTTTGGTTATCAATAAAATGGAACAAAGCAATTCTTACTATCAATATTAACCACCTATGAACTGCAGATTTTGGAAATGTTTTGTATTAAAGTAGCTTTAGTTTCAGATGCTGTAGCACAAGTGATGTTTGTGGTCACATTAAACTGTGATTAAATGGGTACAACTGACATGTTACGTTTTCTAGGATTGTTCTGACCACAATACCAAAACTATCAAAGTTTCATTGATGCATATGTCAAGAGGGAGAGTCAACACTCTTCACTGTTGACTTGAAAGTAGTGTTTGCTTAGCCTATCCTATCAGAGAGTGGCATAAATGGTATTCAGAGAATATAATTTCAGGGAAGCTTCCAAACACTCATGCCTTCATGCTTAACTTTCTCCTCTCTACAAGTTCATTTTTATTTATTATTTCATAGCCATCCTTTCTGATACAAATGCATAAATTCCTGTTGGCTCTACAACTCAATTTTTTTCAGCCTTACATAAAGAGTTCTTATCATAACATCATGACCGTAGGACTATTACAACCTTATCTTCAACATCATTGCTGATCAATTAGATAATTTTGGAAAACAATCCAAACACTGTAATTAAAATTTAACCCTCTGGTGTTTTGTTTTTGTTTTTGGGTTGTGGTTTTCTTTTTTTACTCAACACGTAAGATCCCTGGGTAGCAAGCAGTACATTCTTCTCCCATATTAACACACAGGTTTGTTTTAAAGACCTATTTAAAGAAGTGAAACTTTAGGCAAACTTCTTATTCTAAATTTTCCTTGTTTGCATTCTTTAAAAAGCCACATCTCTATGTAAGAAACCAATGAGTTTTTCTTTGAGAGACTGGTGAGCCTTCCTGCATGCTTGTTTCGGAGGGAGCTTCATTCCTAATTATCTTCCATACATGCTACCATCATGCAAAAAAAAAAAAAAATTAAAATACTTGTGCCTAATAGTATTCCTCCCAGCTGTCACAGAGTGAGGAAAGAGGGCACTCAAGCTGAAACAACCGAAATATGCTATTAAACATATATTAAACAAAAAGAAAGGCTACTTTGAATGGCATTTTTGATGCCAGTACTTTAACTTCTGGGAGTCACAGATAATTGTCTCAAAACCAGCCCCTATGAAGGAATTCCACCTTTACTTTTGCAACATCATGTTTTTATGAAACATCTATTTTACTTTCCATTAAGAATTTTTATAGTTCATGTCCCTGGTTTACTGATGTATGTTCCCAAGGACTAAAGTGCAGACGCATTTCCAAGCAGCCTCTTTCAACCAAGGGGCATAAGGAAATGTTCAAATGTGTTTCATGATATGGCTATGATTTGTGATGCTCTAAATATTGTAGCATGGAAGGTTACCAATGCTTTTTTTTTTCACAAGGCAGAGGAGTCCTTGGGACTGATGGGTATCAATTAAGAGAAAGAGAGAAATGAACTGAAATCAGAACAGTTATCCAGGAGGGGAATATAAACAGAAGGATTAAAAAACCCCACAATCTTCTGGAAAGATCAGTGCTGGAGTTTAGAGGTAGTGGTTAGAGGCCAACAAATTATTCTGAGAGCTATGCAGTACTGCATTGGTCCTGTCAGCCATGTTTCAAAAATGTACCCAGCAGAACAAACACTGGCGCTTTCCCGCTCACCCCTCCCCAAGCTGAAGCTTCATTTTCATATTTTGCCTATCCTATCCTTCAAAGGAAAAAAAAAAAGAAAAAGAAAAGAAAAAAAAAAAGAAAAGAATTAATTACAAATATACAAGTGAATCCATTTTTTTGTGTGCTAGTATCCCACTAGACTTCTTCAGTCGTCTCCTGCACCTAACACAGCAAAACCTTTTACTTGAGAAGTGTACTTGTTATTACTACAACACAGATAATAAATATTAATTTATGGAAAGCAACATTACTGAAAGTTTAATGAACTGTAAACTGCATTTCAATAGCACCTAAGTGTCTTCAGCTTGTTCGAAAATGACAGCCTAAGTTCTCTTTTCATATGTACACCTGTCTGGCCTTATGGCTGGAGATTTACAGGCCTTCATGTAATGCAAACGACAGAAAAAAAGACATTTGGCCTAAGCAGGATGTCTTTTCACTTGCTTTTGTGATTAATCCACACCCACCTAAGACTACACTACATGAAAATCAGCTCATTAACAGCGCCCATTTCATAAACCACTCAGAATAAAACAAAATATATTGGCTTCTCCTGCAGACAGGCAAGGAAGTCTATATGCAAATATTTTATTATGACTTTCAAAATAATATAGAAGTCTGACTGCCAAATTCATCCTTCCCCAGCATGTACACCTTTGGAGAGTATAAGTCGTTAATGCAATTAAAGAGATTGACCTTAATCAGTTATCTTCATTATTTGATAGGGTGTGATTTGCTGATCAAATAGCTAGTGCTGATACAGAGCTCAGGTGCCACAGGGAAAGCTCTATAGAACCTCCAAAGCCATCTCAAGGCTGCACTGACAACTTTCCCAGTGTGGCCTTGACTCAGGTGTGCTTAACTATTGCTTGGGAAGGGGAAGCCAAGCATGTTTCCAGCACAGCACTGGAATACAGAAAGCCTCGTATCCACTGTCCAGTACCTTTTCCTGGTGGAGAAGCAGTGTGCCCCTGAGCCTTTCCAGTCCATTTCAGGGTGACGACAGAGCACTGACTCACAACTAAACAAGACTGAAATTTGACAAGAGATGCTGTTAATAATCTCAGTTATTGGCAGCATCCTGCCTACAAACTGCTACCCAATGTCTGGCAGAGCTGAAAAAAGAGAAGCAGCTCTTGAAAACCCCAAATTTACAGCACTCTGTGGTGAGAGAAACTGGAGTCAGTGCCAGCAGACTTAGCAAGGCACAATGAAAGTGGTCTAATGAATTGCTTCCTAACATCTATAGTTCTTCCTGGTCATGGGGCAGCAGTCTCCATAGAGGATCAGGGCAAATATCTGAGACTGGTGAATGCTTCAGTCAGTCTGACTTTCATCCACCTGTATTCATGAATCAATGCTCTGTGACAAGAGAGAAAATCATTGCTGAAGGCTGTTTCAGTTCATTTGTCTGACTTTGACTCAAAACTTTACAGGCATACTTAAAAAGTCAGAAACCATATATGAAGTGCCTGAAAGGCAGTAATTAATATTTGAAAAGCAGTTTCTTAAATTTGCTCCCAGCATTAACTGACCTTGTGAGCATACCTCCCCCTTTCAACCAGGTCAGTCTAATCCTCCTTTCAATGTCATCTGCATGGCTTTTGCTCTAACACAGGCACATGGTCTGTACACCAGAGACACAGTTTAGGGAAACTGCAACCTCTCAATGGTGAATCCCAGCATGAACACAGCAGCTCCTGGGCAGCTATTGAGACTATATCTACATCCTCTCGCTACAGGGTCACAAAGATTGACTAGAGCTGTTTCAATTTTGTTTTGTTTGCTCAGCCTCCACCTCCCTGCTTTCATAGGTTGATTGACTTTGTAAGGGTTCCTTACAGTTTTTGAAACTGAGTGAGAAAGAAAGATCTAAACCATCTTCTCGCTGGTATGAACATGAGAGAGTTGAGCAAGCTGCTCTGAACTTCTCTCAGCTGTTCATTACTGGCTCCATGATATATCATGACACTGGACTGAACCAGCATGCAGGAATTTGGAAGGTGCAGTTACATCAGATATGTATACAAATTTGAGGTATTAGTATAATGTCATGCATGAGTTGGCACTGAGAGCTCAGTCATGCAACCATCTGGACATAGATTTTGGGTAGACCAGAACCGTTCAAAAAGATCAGCATGAGAAGAGACTATACCCACAACATGAGACTGCACTGGCTGGAGGTATTTTTTGATTTTCTAATACTGAAAGAGTTAAGAGGAATGACAGGTTGTAAAGGATTTCCAGAATGAAGTTGTTTTCATGTGAAAAAAACTGCTGGCATATTCTAGGCAATACGTATTTCTTTGTGCAGTCATAGCTAAAGTGATGGATGAAGAAAACTTATCATCATTTCAGATGGGATTTCTGAAGCAGGACAAATTTCAAGGTCAAAGAATAGATGTTCCTGCGATTGATTTCAAAGTGTGAAGACACAGAACAAGTATTTTTGATTCACAATGGATAAAAGAAGTCTTTATGTCAGTAATATTGCACAGAGTTTGCAAGTCATATGCATTGCCTGAATGTAGCTAGATATAGGTTTGGAAAAGATGAGTTCCAGATGAAGAGCTCGAGCAACGGGCAAGATAAGAAAGTTTTCAGAAGACATCAAGGCTATAGATACAGAGAATAGAAGCCAGAGGAAGATTAAGGGTATTGTTTTAATATACTGAGCTTGACATTTCAATGTCTGGCGGGCAACTTTCAGAGAGATATCGGAGATTTTCATTTGGATAGTAGAAGCTTTTGACAGACAGCTGTGTAAATGATAAGCACAAACTAATTAAATTTATATTTGGGAAGGAAATAGCCTAGGAAGAAAGAAGGATGCAAATTTCAATGTGCCACATTGAAAAGTGGGGTTGGGGAGATGGAAGATGAAGACAACCTGACAAAGAGAACACTGGGAAGAACCAAAGGAGAAGACAATGTCCAGAAGACAATCAAGGTCAACTGCTTCAAAGACAAGTGACAGAAGAGAGAATGAAGCTGGAATTTAGGCTTTGAGGTTTTGTTCAGAAGCAGTACTGATGATAGGTATAAGACAGGCTTCTTCACTTAATTCACAACATAGATGTACCACTAGGACTTAGAAATGGTTCATTTTACTTAACTGTGAAACATGATAAAAGTAAAGGCCAATTCACTCTGCCACAAAGTTTTCAGTTTAAGATCTATGAAGACTCCTTGCACCAATCTGAATGGGGTAAAATAAAATAAATCTTCCTCCAGATGTTCTGAGCAACAATAGAGAATATTGAAGAGTAGAAGAGTATTAAACTGTTGAGACTATACATTCCACATATTTACATAAATGTATTTTAACTGTCTGCATACACTCTATTTTGTGCTCAGATAATTTAGACACGTTTTGGGTTTTGCCATTGCAGCCATATGCTATTTATTAACATAAAGAAAAAAGCACAGAGCCAGCTAAAACTGTTCTTCTCTGGGTATCAAGGGCAAGGATAAAATTGGTAGATTAGGAAAAATCAGCTAAACTGCTTGATACATTTGCAAGTGTCCTTAGACTGCATTTTAAGCAATTTTTCAAGAGTATGGATGAGGTAGGAAGAAGGCAGAAAAGAAGCTGTGTAAATGACACAGCCAGCATGATGGACTGCAGAAAGGATCTTTTTAGCAAGATGACCCTTTGTTTTGGCACAGATACAACTTTCATTTTCTGTAGTGTACAGCAGTTAGGGTGGTAATATCGGCAAAGGGGAAAAGACCTGAGGGGTGCGGGAACAGACTACTAGATAGAATTCACCTTGTGTAACTTTAAAGATTTAAGGCACAATTATCTGTATTTAAATGAGTATCTCCAGCCTCTGCTGAGCTCTCTGAAGTCAACAGGGAAAAGCAGACACCTCCAGAATGGAGTGAACTGACCTGATATATATACCTTAAAATGAGGTGGTTATTCCTCTTCTTCGACTATAAAGGAAGCTGAGGCTGATTATTTTACAGGTAAATCCCTAGGTTAGGGCAAATGAGTTTGGCCTTTTATTAATAATTCTTTTAATTTCCTTGGCTTTTTGTAATTTTGGGGGTGAATACTCAGCATGGTGGCAAAATTCCAGCAGACTTTGGGGAGAGGCAGACATCATAACATTTCACTGGTACTGTATAAAATGTTCAAATGACTTTCGCCACATTATAATTATGTATTATTTACTCAAGTATGTGTTATACACTAATTGTACTCACCAGTTACACAGCGATACAGAAATTTCTTGCAGATAAAACCTCTCTTTCAGATATGGCAAGAACCCCACAGGTCTATAAGGCATGAGGAGTACTGCTCTGTGCATGCAGACAGTCTTGCTCGTCCCAGTACTCATCTGTTCACTTATTCTTTACAGTCTAGGTTGGAAGGGATCTTTAAAGGTCATGTATTCCAGCCCTCCCCTGCAACGAGCAGGGACATTTTCAACCAGACCAGGTTGCTCAGAGCCCTGTCCAACCTGGCCTTGAATATTCTCAGGGATAGGACATCTACCACCTCTCCGGGCAACCTGTCCCAGTGTTTCATCACCCTCTTTGTAAAAAGAAATCTTCCTTATATCTAGTCTGAATATACCCTTCTTTAGTTTAAAACCATTACCCCTTGTCCTGTCACAACAGATCCTACTAAAAGTTTGTCCCCATCTTTCTTATAAGCCCCCTTTAAGTATAGAAAGGCCATAATAAGGTCCCCTCTAAGCCTTCTTTTCTGCAGCTGAACAACTCAAACTCTCTCTGCCTTTCCTCTTAAGAAAAACCAGAAGTCAGCTCTCAGAATGGAAAAGATCCAGTGGTTGGCAATGAGGAGTCTCCATGCTCTCATATTCTTCTGAAATAACACAGGTATATCTCCTGCAAATCAGGCTAAGAGAATAGGTCCAGGAAGTGTTTTCAAGTGGTTTTTGAACAGTGCTTTGTGGCTTTCATTGCAAATTCATGCAATTACAGTAATTTGTATCTCTCTGTGAGTCATTATATACTCTAAGATGGCACATTACTCAGACCTTCACTAATGGTCTAAACCTGCAGGCTTCTTCAGGCCAAAGTTCTCGGAAAAGTGAGCTGGGGCTGGGCTCTGTGGAGTACTCATCTGACACCCTGGCACAGAGCACACTGTGTGCTCTCTAGTCCCAGAAACAGAGAGGTCCTCTGCTTCTGTGATGTGGAAAGCACACAGTGTCAATGGCATAAGAAAACATCTTTCAATGCCAAGCCTTTGATGTTAATTGTTTGAACAGCTCCCGGTTGCTTGTGGGAAATCTGCCAGGTTGCAATCTGCCACAGCGAGGAGGCAGCCCCAAGGGAGAGGGAAACACGTGGAGCATCTGTCCCCTGGGAAATGGGATTTGGTCCCTGCTCTCCGTCCTCTGGCTGCTCCAGGCGGAGCTCCAGCTGTTCCTTCATTTCATTCTGCTTCAGTGGCATTTAACCATTTCTCATTCTCACTTGCCCACACCCTAGTGGGGAGGAATGCAAGGAGAGGAGGTGGGAAATGCATCCCAGTTGTGCTCTGTAGCACCTAATGTTTCCTGGGGCATTCTGGGCCTGCTGGGGGTAATATATTCAGGATTAAGAGGGAAAGCGTATTAGGTTTATGTGCAAGGTTTTCGTGGCGATTGGGCTGCAGGGGTGACTTCTGTGTGAAATGACCAGGGCTGACCTTGTGTTAGACACAGCCAGTTCTAAGGCAGGCCCACTGTTGCCCATCACTGATGCTGGTAGTGCCAATATGATCAACATATTTAAGACCGGCTAAAAGAGATTGTGCAACAGCTGAGAGAAAGAGGAGTGAGAAAATATGAGAGAAACAGTTCTGCAAACACCAAGGTCCATGAAGAAGGAGGGCAGGAGGTGCTCCAGGCACCAGAGCAGAGATTCCCCTGCAGCCCATGGTGCAGCCCATGGTGAGGCAGGCTGTCCCCTTGCAGCCTATAGAGGTCCACGGCAGAGCAGATATCCACACTGCAGCCTGTAGAGGACCCACATTTGAGCAGGTGGATATGCTGTGCAGGAAGCTGCAGCCTGCAGGAGCTGAAGCCCATGCAGGAGCAAGTTTTCTGTCAGGAATCATGGCCCATGGGGGACCCATGTCCTGAAGGACAGTACCCCATGGAAAGGACCCATGCTGGAGCAGCTTTTGGAAGACTCCAGCCTGTGGGAAGTCCCCATGTTGGAGAAGTTCATGAAGAACTGCATCGTGTGAGAGGAAGCCTATCCCAGAGCAGGAGGAGAGAGTGAGGATGAAGAAGTGTAAGAGATGTCTAATGAACTGACTGCAAATCCCATTCCCTATCCCCTTGTGCAACCTGGAGGGAGGAAGTAGAAGAGTGAAAGTGAAGTTGAGCCTGAGAAGATGGGGTGGGGGAATACGTTTTTGGTTTTGTTTTTATTACTCAGTATCCTACTTTCACAATTGACTGTCAATAAATTACATTAATCTTCCCCAAGCTGAGTCTGTTTTGCCTGTAGCAGTAATTGTGGAGTGATCTCCCTGTCCTTATCTTAATCCACAAGCTTTTAATCTTATTTTCTCATCCCATTTTACTGAGGAGATGGAGTGAGTGAGTGGCTTGGTGGGCACCCGTCAGTCAGCCGAAGTTAACTGACCACAGAAAGAAATGAAGAAGATCCAATCATTACAGTTTTGAAAGGAACATATGATAGTAGCACCTGGATAAAAAAATACCTGTAAGATAATCAAGGCATTCCAGCAATTTCTTCTCCCTGGTAAAGTCAAGTGCGAAGGTATCGAAAGTATCATTGAGATTAATTTCAGGAATTAGAACCTGGGAGGATGCAGTTGCCATGGAAACCCTAAAATAAAAAGAAGAACTCTTTTAGCATGCAAGACAGCAACTTCACATCAAGGTAGGACCTGGCCATTATGATTGCTATTGATTCTCAAGAAGCTTGACAAAAACTTTTACATGTGTTTCATTTATATGATTTAAGATAGGAGGTTCTCCTGGCACTTATTTTTGCATGTAAAACCTCCAATAAAAATCTATTACTACTCGGCTTTTGCCTAACATGCAGTGTCCTATAAGTTTTTAAGAAAATACTGATTAAGCAACAGTATACTTTGAATTGTCCCTTCTAGTCACCCTTTGAAACAAAGTAGCAATAGCACCACTTTTATCTGTGTTTTAAGCAATCCTAAGAGATTCTGCATCAATCCCAGTCCTTGTTTTCCCAAGCAGCTTTTTGCTCCAGGCATTCCTTGGCACTGCTGTCCCAAGGGCTTGGTGCAGATCCCCCACACCTCCTCAGTTGTTCAGCACAGCACACTGCTGTTAACTTCAAAAGCACAGGGGAGAGATAAAACAAGCAGATGTCAGCACAGTTTATTTTGAAAGGCTTTTCCCTCCAAAGCATGCGTGCATACTTACGTTTCCTCCAAAACTGAAAAGTTTCCTTGCTCACTTCATTTCAGGAGCAACATCCACTTTCTGTCTATCCAGCTATATCAATTTAAAGAGATGAGCTTTCGCAAGAAAACAGCCACCAGGATGGATTGATTTTTCAGGTCCTTCAGCTTGGTATCTCAAAATACATGTTACTGGAGAGCTGAATACTGGGTATGTATACAGCAAGTTTGGTCCATTTAAGCAAAGAGATTATTAGACCTCATGTTATACCACAGAACTTTGTTCCAGTTTGGAGGTAAACATACAACCATGCACACAATGCATATCAATTTTCTGTCACTCTTGACACATCAGATCAAAATATTTTGATTGCTTCAATTAACATTTTCCCAAATTACAGTATTTCCCTGTAGACAGGGCTCAAATTTGGCTACCAGGCCAAATGCTTACCAAGAGCTGTGTTTTATAGAATCATAGAATAGTTAGGGTTGGAAAGGACCTTAAGATCATCTAGTTCCAACCCCCCTGCCATGAGCAGGGACACCACACACTAAACTATGTCACCCAAGGCTCTGTCCAGCCTGGCCTTGAATACCTCCAGGGTTGGAGCATTCACAACTTCCTTGGGCAACCTATTCTAGTGCCTCAGCACCCATGTCTTTCTTGTGTAGTATTTTAGGAACATACAGTTAGGAAAGTAAAAAGCTGAGCTGCACATTCCATTGTCTTCAGCATAGTCTTTAGAAACTGTGCTGAGGAGGTTTCCTAGTCAATAATCCTTGTTATACAGTTTTCAGCACTGTTCTCTTGCAGCTGTGATTGTAGAACATAGTTTGAAGCAGATCCTAGTACAGATAAAATGTTTTGGTTGGTTTTTTTTTTTTTGAGAGAGGATAGTTGAAGTCCTTTTTGCCCCATGTCTTTAGAGGGAAAAATTCCTTGAACTCTTCCACCTCTTCTTTTTATTCTCCCTCATCCCCCAGTAGTTTGTCTGCAGTTACAGTATGGCATTTTTACATCTAGTAGGAAAAAAGCCACATGCATTTCTTGGAGCAAACTCAGGGTGATACATACCTATGCAAAATTAACAAAGGCCTTGCTGACAAGCCAGCATGAAGGTATCTAAGATTAAGAGCTTCTTCGTATACCTCCATAAAGCACATACATATAAGAAGATCATATCACCAGGCCCTTTTGGAGTGGTGTTTGGGGCTACACGAATGGTGCACTGTGAGTACATGTGCTAAAGCAGTTTTTGGTGAGCTCAACAGCTTGCAGTTTCAGGCACCATGTCACCATGTTAGATTTAGAGGACTGAATTTCCTCTTGTAATTCTGCCTGCTCTATCTGACACTGTACTTGGTTGGAAAGGGTTTTATAGGATAAATATGTTTCACCCACTGTAAATAATGCACGACTTAAATCATTGTAGTGTATGCAATGTCTTTGCTTACATAGTTACCTGTTGTGCTTACAACAGAGAATATTATACTGCAATTACTTTGAAATATGTGGATTAAGAAATGCAATGAGCATAATTTCAGGAGACTGTTTTAGCTGCTGGAGCTCAGGGCCCTGGAGAGACTGTTACATGAGCACTCTAGAAGCAAACAAAATATTGCTCACTACATGAGAACTCAGAGAATGTGGGAAATAATTTATTAATCAGACTTAGTCTCTTTTTCCACTTGCAATTTGTCTACAAGCACTTGATGTTTTCCCCCCCAGTTTTACTCGCTGCTTGATATGATTCTCTGAATTTCAAGGTGTTCACAGCCATTTCATTACACACGGCAATCTGTGATAGTCGAGAATTAGGTTTGGTTGGGCACATATGTCAGCTGGTCTCATTTCTGCATTCTGAGTGTCTCTCCTGTGACTGTATTTATGATGCAACTGTCCATGTTTACAAGTTCAAAATGGAGCTTCTCTTAATATTTTCCAATAGTCAATTACAAAGCTTTGTGTCTCTGCATGTTTCTGCCCTACTGCTTGTTCCCCTGAATACTGAAAAAAGGTCACCCCCCTCACCTTCAGCTTTTTACTTGTCATAGTCATATGGTAGTTTTACTATCAGCTTCAGTTGGAATGCCACGATGTACCTTGGTGACAGAATATAAACCAAGATTTAAATCTGACAGATCACGTGATCCATTGCCTTGCCTTGCCTTCCCTTCCCTTCTTTTGCCTTGCTTTTCTCAACAGATTTTCAGTTTTCTGAATCTGTAATGAGCAATATAGTGTTGCTGGCTTACTTATAAGTTGATTAAATAGCTTTGTTGAAACCCTATACTCAGAGAATCTGCATACAGCACTCTAGCGTAAGTGATAGACTTAAAAGAGCAAATAATAAAAGCAGAGAATCTAACGCTTATAATTCCTCAAAAAATGGCTGGCCAATGTGAAGATATAATGTGAACCCAGAGATAAAAAACCAGATGAATGAATATGCATAATCTTTCTAGTTTTCTTCTTCGCTGTCCAAATACATTATCTTTTTTGTGTGTGTTTTGTTTCTCTGACTGATGGCTGAACAGGCTGATAATTCCAACAGACCATTTTTTCTTCAGAAAATACTGCTGAAAGTCAGTGTAATGTTTCAGCCTTTACAGTAGTGCTCTGAAAACCAGACCAAATTTTCTGACAGCACAGATTTCTGGAAAGACTTGCTCCCTTGTTTTTGACTCCTTGATATATTTGGCATGCTGAAGAGGAGCTAGGATCCTAGAAGCATTAGAAATTTCCTGCACCCAGGGACTCAACACAGCAGCTGCCATAACTTCTGGACACTCAGGCTGCTGAATCTCTGACTGTTTGCATGGGCTACCTCAGAGAGGCATGTTGCAGGTTCCTAACATTACACATTTCGTTACCTTGCTGCTTGTTATTTTGTGAAGAATATGAATCCATTAAGATAATTGAGAATTTCTTCTAAGGAGTGTACTCACTGACTGATTTCAGCCTGCAGAAACCTGTTTTTTTGTGTGTGTTTAGCATCAGACATCTGCTTGGCAACCTCCTTCCTTTGTGCATGCTATTACTGTTCTAACTCATTTCGCAACCTCCTTTGACTGATCCTCTTTTCAAAGAAATGTTTTGATTTAGCAGTACAGTAAGGTCCTTCCCACTCTGGTGCAGCACAAAGTAGTGTTTTGAGGGACTGCATCTATTAATCCCCTGCCTTTGACCACATCTGTGGTGGGACAAGACAATACAGCAACTATGACAACCTGTCGGCTTTAAACTGAGGTTTTTATGGTTTTTGAGAGGACATCTTCTTTACCTTTCAGTGATATTTTTAGCAGTCTGCAGGAAGCGAGCATGGTCATTCTCCTTCAGTGACTGTTCAGCCTGAGAGATGAGGGATGTCGAGCGCTCAATGCACTGTTTGCAGTTCGCAATCTGCTGGGCCAGTTTTCTCAACCTCACCACCTTGAGTGGAAACATAAGAAAACAGTCACATCTCTAAGGTCACAAATCATAATTGCATTTGCACTTCCGAGGCAAAGCTGGAATGCAAAGGGGGAGTTAAGATGAGTGGCTTCACTGACAAGAGCTTTTTTCACACTAGCTTGATGGTGAGCTCCATGTAGCCACGTAACATTTTTAATAAGGGGACAGGCACAGCCTGTCTGCCTCAAATTTTCCACATGGAAAACAACAGGGGAGAGCCAAAACAAGCACAGCTGGCCTACTTTCCTACAGAAGAAACGTCATTTCCTGGTACTTTCTGCTTACATGATAACTAAGGGCTATTTAGATAACCATTTCCCTGAAGTGATGAGGTCTGTATTAAAGGCATCTCATAGATTCACTACTTTTTTTTCCTTTCCCATTACTGAAGTGAGTTTCATAAAAATAATCTGAAAATAAATTCGACAGAAAAAGATTGCTCAATTCTACTTGCAATACACCTCTCTCCTTTTCATTATGTGCTTTTAATCAAACAGGGTGTTTTCTTGTTGGATATTTTTAACTGGACAAAAGTGCAGGAGTGCTGGAGAGCTAGCTGATTGTTACTACTGCAAACATATGCGCTGAAGACAAACACAGTGGATGTGACTGTAATCATTAGCTGAAAGGTTAGGGAGGGGCACAGCCAATCCTCTATTTAAAGACAACGCTGGCTAGCAAAACTTCTAGTTTTCCTGAAAGGTCTGGCAGTTTCTCCCATTGTTATCACATCAGGATCATAGTTTGAACAGGAGTAAGAAATAGGAAGGAAATGAAATAATTCTGGAGTTTAGAAAAACATTAAGACCTAGCTACATGTAAAATGAGAAAACTTACAACTGGATTGGCAGAAATATCTAAATTTATAATCAAAATAACATTTCCAATCCCAGCAGTTAGGGCCCTAGCTATGAAGTTCCTGAGTTGAATTTCAGATGTAATTACATCCTAGGCAGAGGTAAGGATATCTTAATGCACCTACCCAACAACAGAAACTAGTAGGAAAATAAACCTTTTGGAACACTTTCAAAAAGAAAACACTGGCCAACTGACACTCTCCTGTAACACTGGTATTTCTTCTAAATATGGAAACAATAAAGAGAGAAAAATGCTGGGAAAGCATAAAGATTTTGATAATACTAATGTTCAGATAAGCTTCTAGGATGAACTAATGCCATAAAGTTTTCTCTAACTGCATTTGCAGTGATTACTATTGGGTCTACACAAGTCTAATAAGGGAAAAGTTCATTGCAGTATTAAATAGCTCATCTCTTTACTTACTTATTGATTAACTTATTGATTACTTACTTATTGATTAACAAAACTAAAATAAACTGAAATAAATGCTACCTTGTGAGCTTTCATCAGTTAGAAGGCATGTCATGATTTGTGGGGTCTATATATGAACAGTGTTTTTTGTTTGTTTGATTCTTTTTCCTATCTTCTTCAAGAAGTTGAGTGATGATAAACTTTAAAAGGAAGAGTCTCATCTCACCAACTCCCCACCCACTCTCCCAATGACAGGAATGATGTCTGCACCAAAATGATCTATCTATTTGATTTTGTTTGTTTGTTTGTTTTCCCTGTTACACGCTCTGTGAGATTTTATAGGTTTTGGGTGACAGGTGAGATTAAGGATGGAGCTCTATCACACTGTCAGGCTCATGTGTCTGAATGTGCAGCCTTGCAGGCATACTGGGACTTTATACCTGAGTAGTTCCAGCTCTGTATCCATAACTATAGTCCTAAAGTCAAATTCATCATGCCCTACCTTCCAGAAAGACTCTTAGTCACAGGCCCTCATAAAAGATGCATTGGACAGAATTTCCTGTGGCTTTTCACATAGATCTCTTGAATGCCTGAAAACTTTCAACATACGTAACATTTGGAGCAAAGCATTCCAGAACTTTGCTGGACCTCCAGTGATACCACTTTTGGTTGAACAAAGTAGGACAAAGGATAGGGATAGATTCTGATATCAGCTATATTCAAATGAATTTGGAGTCAATTGTATTATAAATCTTCCGTGCTTTAATGGACATTAGAACACATCTTTGCAAGCAATAGATTTTTAAAAACAACTCATGTATATAGAACAAATCCAAATTAGTGGAAAGTTTTCTGCTTCATTGGAAGCACAGCTGGTCTCACTGTGCAGAGAAACAGAGTTGAAACAATAATGCAGAAGGCCATCTTTTCAGTTTTGAAGGGGATTATATTTTGTTAACAGCATGAGGAAATTCAGGTTCTGTGACACAGCATACAGTACCTGTGGTTTCAAATGCGTTTAAGTCAGCCCTTGCCTACAGGCTTTTAATTTCAAGTTAATTGGAATATCTTGACAGCCACATGAACCATTTAACCTGCTCTTGACTTTATTCCTTTCCTGAGCTTTTCCCACACAAGAAGAGTTTATATTTGACTTAGTTAGTTTAGCAGTTAAAGAGTAAACACCATGAACCTAGAAAATAAGGACATTAATTCAGCTCTAATGTGTTTCTGAGTTAACAGGTAGCTAGCAACGTGTTGAAACTTGAATATCAGAGATGTTTCCTGTTCAATACGTTTATCGCTAATAATTGTGCCTCAGTAATTAGAAATGCA